TCTCCTCACCCCCTGGCCCCTGGGGCCGGAGCCCCTCTGCTGGTTCCTCTCAGCCCAGCCCGCTGCACCTCACCAGGCCCGCCAGCATCCACCCCTGACAAGGTGGGGAGGGTGTCCCAGCCGGCATGGCCGCTCAGCCTCCTGACGCTGGATTTCAGGGGTGGAGGGAGCTAAGGGAGTCATTGCACAGCGTCCGTCGGGGAAAGGGGCCGGAATCCGGCCTCTCGGCCCAAACTCAGGAGCCCCGACCCTCCCTGCTGGGGCATTTTACTGTTTCTTTTCTACTCGGGCACATTTAGACCAGGGAAAGTGGTTAATAAAAAGGAGCTTGTGCTACTGAACTGCGTGACCTGTGTCTGGTGCTGGGGACAGAGTCCGGGCCACTGCTGATGGGCGGGGTGGGGAGGGGTGAAGGTGGAGGATGGGGTGAGGCAGGGCCTTCTAGCTTTATTGTCTATAACCCCTGTCTCAGGAATGGGCACCATCCTGTTCTCTTTACCAAGTTGGAAACTACGAGTGTTGTTTTTTTAATCCTAGTCATTTTTTTAAAATATATTTTATTGATTTTTTTACAGAGAGAAAGGAAGAGGGACAGAGAGCTAGAAACATCGATGAGAGAGAAACATCGATCAGCTGCCTCCTGCACACACCCCACAAGGGATGTGCCCGCAACCAAGGTACATACCCTTGACCGGAATCGAACCTGGGACCCTTCAGTCCGCAGGCCAATGCTCCATCCACTGCGCCAAACTGGTCAGGGCCTAGTCATGTTTTTTTTTTAAGATGTTCTTATTGATTTGGGGGAGAGAGCTAGAAACATCAATGATGGGAGGGAATCATAGATCAGCTGCCTCCTGCCCACCCCCCACTGGGATTGAGCCCGCAACCTGGGCATGTATGTGCCCTAAGAATCCCGTGGCCTCCTGGTTCATCATTCTCAGTTGGTCTTCACAACTCTATGAAGGAGCGGAGGCTGGGAGATGTTAAACAGCCGGCCCAGGGACACACAGTAAAACGAGCCAGACAGCCTCTCCCATACGTGGACGAACAAGTGACAGGCGCTCTCAGCGGACCCCAGAAGGCAAGCTCAGGAACCTACATCCCCCACGTGGGCTCCAGCACCACATCTCGGGGAGCCCTGGGGTGGCTCTCCCAGCCAGTCCACCTCGATGGTGTGATGCCTGCCGGCAAGTGGCTCTGGGCAAGTCGCACTTCACCTCTCTGGGCTCGTTTCCCGATCTCTAAAGGAGAATGGTAACCATTGACTTCATTACCTCCCGGGGAGAAGGGCAGCCAGTGTAAAGAAAGCACATGACGCCCGGCGGGGTGGGTCAGCGGTTGAGCGTCAGCCTATGAACCAGGAGATCACATCAGGGCACATGCCCGGGTTGTGAACTCGGTCCCCAGTGGGGGGGTGCAGAAGGCAGCCAATGGATGATTCTCTCTCATTGATTTTCCTGTCTCCTCCCCTCCTCTCCGAAAGCAATAAAAACATTTAAAAAAAAATAAAGCTCATGACAATGACAGAGTGTTTTATAGCCAGAAATCCAGTTTAGAGAA